TCCGATGCTTTGCTGGGTGACGTTAAGGTCCCAAAAGATGGATTGTTGTGTCGGGATATGAACTGTAAGAATGTACAACATTGTAAGATTTATGTTCCCTGTATGTAGCTATTGTGGAGTCCCTTGGTATCTCGCGTTGGCCATTATATAAACCCAGCTCAAAAGTGTGCAACGCTAAGCCAGGATGGAAGGATCATGTAGAAGAGCTTCATGAAGAGGCCCGTAATGCTTTTAAAGATGGGCTGGGGCAGGTAAAAGCAGGCAGGGCCCCTCGTTTGAAAATAAGAAATGCTCTCTAATGCTAGATTTAAAAGTGCACTCCGCTATATTAAAAGAAATGAAAACCAAATGAGGTCAGATTCACTGGCACGGAAGCTGCAAAAAAATAATGTTAATGAAAGAAAGACAGAAATACTATGAATAATTGCAAAACATCTCTTCCATCTAATATAGATGTGAGTGCATGATGGTCCTGATGAAATCTCTCAGTTATGACGGAGACATTATTGTGAACTGCTAAACTAAGTAATCTGGTAACAAGAATTGGTAACATCAGTAGCTGATGACTTTAATACTGTAAATGAAACTGCTGTAGACTACCAGTTGAACATTTATGTGACAAATTAAGATTTTTTTATATAATATTGACTGTTTATAACTAAAGATTCTATGTAAACAATATCTTATATAGGCAAATAAACTAATAATGGGTTAAAAAAGAAGCTGAATTTAATAAAAAATGATATTTAAAACTTATAAAGGAAATCCATTGCTTGTTTTTTATGCACACATTTACTTATTAAAGTAACTTTTCATTTGACTGCTTGTTGTTTTCTGACTACTGGTAAATTGGTTAAATTTTTTTTTTTTTTTTTTTAAAGAGACAACATTGAAAGTCAAAAATGAATGAATTTAGTCTAAATACTCTGCTCTTTCTACTAATGAAAGTTTGAACTAATTTAAATTTATTCAGACTTGAAACTGAACTGATGATAGTGCTGCCATCTAGTGGAGATCCGTGAGCATGACGTTTCATATCTATCTATCTATACACACAAATAGATATTATTATTAGTCTCTTGGAATCAGTAAGATTGTCTGACCGTACATTAGTCTTTTTGTTCCATGCTTTAATCCTGAACAAAATTCCTACTAATATCCTTTAGGATTGTTTTCAAATGATTCTAGATATTCCTTTATTAAATATTTCCTTTAGGATAACAAATAAAATGTTTTATGTGGTAAAATTTTAATGAATGTGTAAAATAAAATGTTTTGCGTACAGTAATCGATCAGTGTTTTACACCATTTTAACCAGGTTTTGACTTTATGCACTTCACTTATTCCAAATGATTTTTTCTAAGAACAAATATTCCATGAAGACTTAATACAAGGTCATGAAATCTGCACTGCATGTCATCCCAATACCCTTTAATAATTGTGATAGATCACCAGATTGTGAGCATGACATGCTGATGCCGAATGTGGAAGGAAAATGAAAAGAGGCCGTCATCAAAGTTTCCATAATACTTTTTTATTCAATCGCATATGTATAAAAGCCAACCATTTGCATGGTTTCCAACCATTGAAAATGGTTAAATTCGAGAATTTGGACATGGGGTCGCACTGAGATCCCCATAACTATGGATTTGTGGCATATAGGGCCTTAAAATGAAGATTCCATAAGAAACGTTTATTATGAATGAGAATCATGAGATATTATCTTTAATACTTCTTTAGTTGCAGGGATGCAAACTTTGGAAAAAACATATTTATGGCACTCAGACAGGAATGTTCTCTGCCATTGAGCTGATTGAGCATTTTCAGATATTCCTCTTTAAAATAAATAAGTATCAGTTGTACGAAAATAGACCAGGCAAGGCAAGTTTATTTACATTTTATACACAATAGCAATTCAAAGTGCTTTACATAGAAGAAATTAAAATAATCAAAAGAAATCAGAATAATTCAAACAGTTTAGAATAAAAAATAAGAAATAATGAAAAATAATGATAAAAATAAAATACAGTAAATTAAAACAATTTAGAATAAAATGAAGTACAGTAACAGTCGGACGAACAGTGGCACAGTGCTCATTCAGTAAATGCACAGCTAAACAGATGTGTTTTGAGTCTGGATTTGAATGTGACTACTGTAGGAGCACACCTGATCTCTTCTGGAAGCTAATAATATAATAATAGCTAAAAGCAGACTCTCCATGCTTTGAGTGAACCCTTGGTATTTCTAGCTGATGTGATCCTAATGATCTGAGTGATCTGTTGGGTTTATATTCAGTGAGCATATCTGCAATATATTGAGGTCCTAACCCATTAAATAATTTATATACCAGTAATAATACTTTAAAATCAACGAATTTTACGACGATTTTACAACTCCATAAGAAAAAAAACAACAACAATACAAATAACAGAAATATACAAATAAGTAAAAACAAAAAATAAAATAAAAGTAGGGAAAAAACTATAAACGTAAGTAAAAACAATAAGAAAAATCCAAAAAGTAGCAAAAATAAAGTACGGTAATTAAATAAGCAAAACAATAATGATAAAAAAGTACTAAAAAGTCAAAGAATGAAAATTAAATCAAATTAAGTTGGTGTATTAATGTTAATATAACAGTTAAAGTAGGCATTAGGGAGGGAAACGACAGTTATTTGTAAAATGGACATTGTAATAAATCAACAGAGGGTTCAAAACAGTGACAACTGCTTGTTCCGGGACAGCAGAAGATGTCAGTCCTGAGCGTTTGTCCCGGGACAGTGCAGAAGACCAATGAGAGCATCACTAACAAGTTAATCTTGCGATTCAACGAGGAACATGTTTTTGCTCCACATATATGAGATCTTTTTGCTCATGCAAGGCGACCTGCAGTTAAACGCGTGAAGAAACTCAGTGAATGTACAGCAACCCCAGCTCCCTCAAATCTGCGCCTGCGCTTGAGCCAACGGTTTAATTCAATTCTTGTCAACAAACCAAATATATATTGCATTCACACAAGGAAAAACAAAATAGTTGCAATGCAACAAAAACAACACAAAGCAGACACGGGCTTGGCTGCATGTCCTTCATTTTCTGTTTTCTGAGTTCATGTGTGCGTTGAAACAGCGCTCGCGTGTTGTCTGAACAGAAAGTAAATAAGCTGATCAATACGACAATTCACCATGACGTCACAACAATAAAAGACGTTCTTCCGGGTGGCAAAAGCCGAAGCGTCCCTATGGCAACACTAGTAAATTGCATGGAGGGAGACACACCGCCGGCAGAAGCCTAATCTACATTTCAACAGTTGATTCAAGAACAGACGTGGTGGAAATTCAGACATAGTTTACATGATCATTAAAGCTTAGATTCTTTGATCTAGAGACGTCCACTCCCAACGCACTAGACCGCGGCGCGGGACTAGATCTGATGGCCGAGTGCCGGCGGTAATGCACTCTGTGTGTGCGGATTGCAGGAGAATAAAACGATTCGCGGGACTCCCGCAAACTAGAAATATCTATGAATAAAACAAATAAAAACTAATACATTTGTATTTATCTGTTGCAGAAAAGCAACAAGAACAACTAAAACAAAATAGAAATGACTTACATGGCAGAGTTTCTTTTTATAACGTGACTGCAGCGATGAGCGATGTAGCCAATCACAGACATATGAGTTGATTTATTGAACGCATTGGCCAATCAGAAGCATTTACGATGAAGAAGCATTTACTCACCGCTCAAAAGAAAGTAACATAGAAAGTAATAGAAATAACTAAGTTAGTTGAGAACGTCACTTATATAACGACCCACATGGTTGGGTTTAAATCGGGCTCAGGCTCATAATTAGAAGACGACATGCACTTTTGACGACGTCCACTCGCTTTAACCTCCTCACCCACAGGTTCTGCTGGATAGATTTACTTTTTTCTGAAGGAAATCGATAAAAAAAACTACACCTTTTGCTGTATATCTGGTGGCGCAACCCCAAACACAACATATTTTCGCCATAGATTCAACTTTGATCAACAACAATGATTTTAACTGTGTAACTGTTCAGTTGCCGGCTGGATCTCTTCAGTTAGTCAATGGAAGCCGCTCGCGTTCTGCCACCCGGAAGTATCGCGGTGCCTATTGTTTACAAACATTCTGAAATGCCCTATATGTTTCCGCATTTGCACGTACAGCTCTTGGTGCAGTTTCGATGCAGCGTCCCTTCATAACTCAAGAGCAAGCTTTTGCAATCATACCATCTCGGACACACTTTATCTGACACTCAAGGAAATCTCCCCGACACAAATGACACGCTCGTCGCACCCAAAAATTTCCAACCGGCCCATCAGGCACAAATCTAAAAAATCCTCACCTGCAGCCGCCATGCTGGAGAAGGAGTGTGTGTCCCCGGATGGTAGGCCTGTAAGCTTTCCTTTTGCCACAATTTTTCCCCAGTATTCTATGGAATAATCTATGGAAGCTTGTTTCCGCCACTGAATAAAAAAATAAAATAAATAATTGCGACTTTTTATCTCACAATTCTGACTTTTTTTCTCACAATTGCGAGATAAAAAGTCCGAATTGCGTGATATAAAGTCGCAATTGCGAGTTATAAAGTCAGAATTGCGAGATATAAAGTCAGAATTGCGAGTTATAAAGTCAGAATTGCGTGATATAAAGTCAGAATTGCGAGATATAAAGTCAGAATTGCGTGATATAAAGTCAGAATTGTGAGATATAAAGTCAGAATTGCGTGATATAAAGTCGCAATTGCGAGATAAAAAGTCCGAATTGCGAGATATAAAGTCGCAATTGCGAGTTATAAAGTCAGAATTGCGAGATATAAAGTCAGAATTGCGTGATATAAAGTCGCAATTGCGAGATAAAAAGTCCGAATTGCGAGATATAAAGTCGCAATTGCGAGATAAAAAGTCCGAATTGCGTGATATAAAGTCGCAATTGCGAGATTTAAACTCACAATTCTGACTTTTTTTTGGCGCAATTGATATAAACTTTGACCTTTCTCGTAATTGGGATGGAAGTATGCCACGAGTTGTGACCAGAGTCTTCCGTTTCATCGTCAAAGACAGAGCTTGGATGGACATTTTCCGATGACAAGGTACGATCATACTCTTTGACATGATAGTCATTTAAGATGTTTATCATGTGTTAATAAAATACGTTGGGCAAGTATAAAATGTGACTTTTCGTAACGTGCACGTGCTAAGGTTGTCTATTACGTTTAGCCTTCTTTTGCATTTTAGTGTTGGTTTTATGTTTACAAATAGTTATTTAATATCCTGTATTTGTCATTGTACCAAAACTGTTTTGCATCAGGACAGGAGCTTTTTGCTTTGTCATGCACAGCACATTTTGACCATAGAGATCGGCTACAGATTGGTTTTATGGCTTACATACATGGTTTAGGCTAATGTTGGCCTAACTTGCCAGCCTCAGTTTGCTCTCATTATTCATTTCTGTTAAACTATCATAACAGGATGGACGATTTTATCATTTTTCTGAGGGAGAGGAACATTCCAGAAACCACCATACAAAGGCTGGAGGAGGACAAGGTAATATTTAACCAAGAAATGAATAAATTAAAGGAATAGTTTACCCCAAAATGAAAATTCTCAGTATTTAGAGGAAGTGACCATTTTAAGCCCATTTAGGCCTACTTACAGGATTATTTCTTTCTTAGATTATTTAATGTTTATTTTATTTAAAAAAAATGTGTATTTTTTTACATTTAAATGTGTATACCATATATTTTTTCGGGTGTTCAGATTAACAAAAGTGATTCTAGATGTGTGAATTAATCACCATTAATCTAATCGTTCAATATACAATTATACCTTGTAGGAAATAAAATGTTAAAATATCTGTCATTCGTTTACGATGTGGCAGCTCTTTACTACTTTATTAGCCTTTGACCTGACCCATTTAATGACCCCTTTAATACCTAATTCAGTAAATGGTAAAACTACTTGTACTAGAAATCTGTTTGTTTATGATAATTAGTTAAAATAAAATGGTAACACTTTTACAATAAGGTTCATTAGTTAACATTAGTAAATGCATTAACTAACATGAACTAACGATGAGCAATGCATTAGTTACAGTGTTTATAAATCTTTGTTAATGTTAGTTAATACAAATACAGCTGTTCATTGTGTGTTCATGTTAGTTCACAGTCCATTAACTAATGTTAACTAATACAACCTTTGATTTTAATAACGTATTAGTAAATGTTGGAATTAATATTAACTAAGATTAATAAATGCTGAAGAAGTATTGTTCACATATTGAACATGTTAACTAATGTAGTTAACTAATGTTAACTAATGAACCTTTTTGTAAAGTGTTACCAATAAAATGATTGTAAATACCAGTTTGCTATGTCAAGCTTCATGACATACTGTTTTTGTACAGCTAAAATAACTGGAAATGGAAGACTCAACACATCAAATTTACTAAAGGCAGAGCCGTTCTTGCATTTAAAATAATGTGGATACTACTGTGGGGAAGTTAATCTATTGTAAAAGCACTGAAAAGCACCTAAAAACATGCTAGAACAAACCTATGATGATTTTTTTTTTCTACTGATACTAACAAGCCTATAGCATTTTCTGCTCAGAAAGGCTTAAATGCTCAATTGTGTGTGAGATGACATAATGACAAAATGGCAAATGCAAAAATGGCTCCGACTGTTTTTTTTTTTTTTTTTTTTTTTTAGTAAAATGTTCCGTTTGTACAAACAATTTCTTGAATGCAGGGATAATACAAGTATGATTAACCCAGACCTAAGCTGCTTACTTGCCATTAACATGCGGTCTCCGTGATCTGATCAGGCAGATCGGATCATTAGCCAGTCAGGACATGCCACGTTTTTTCACATAAGTAACCTCTGTATCTGGATATCTGATCGGATTTCTGTTTCCGGCATAATATCTAAATTAGGTCTGTGGCATGACACCAGGTTAAGAGTAAAGATGATACAAATGTACCAATTGCTTTCACTCACTCACTTTACTTTCCTGCGCAATCTCCAGTCTTAGATCAAATTAAGTTTTTTAATGAAGGAATAGAGTTTAACTTGATCATACAAAAATAACTGATCATGTTAATCATCATCTGGGTTTAAGGTTATAGCCTGCAATGACTATATTGACAGAAATGGGAGATTGATAAACATGCTGAAACAATACAAACATTCAACATTTAAAACATAAAAAAATTCAGATTTCGATTATTCATCTGGCATGCAGCTCTTCATTAAGATCTCATGACTGACTGATTCTGCAGGCGATCACCTCGTTCAGATAATGTTGCACAATTAAATTGAAAAATGACACCCATAGTATCATGTAAGTCCAATAAACTGAGATCCGATCACAATGCGTCCTCGACTACTTCCGAACCTGGACACGCTGATAACACTTGTCTTTTCAATGTAAACGCAGCCCTAGATGCTTGTATGAATTGTATGAATATAAGCAACATTTTGTTTTGTTTATTGTACTGAATACTGAAAAATGTGTTTATTTGCAGATTGATGTCAGTGTCCTACTGCTAATGACTGATGACCAGATGAGAAGCTATTTTCCTTCATATGGAGACAGACTGGCAGTTTTGGGATTTTGTAGGAGGAAAGAAACTGAGCCAACTTGCAGGAAGTCAAAGCTGTTTGAGCGCCTCAAATCAAAACTTAGCAAAAGACAAAAAATTGACAATTCACAAACTGAAAACCATGCAACTAGAACAAACATCTCTCAGCGTACTGAAAGAAAAGTTGAGATTGGGTGGATGCACTATGATGGACAGGGCTTTGTTCAAATGAGAGCAAAAAAAGGAGGGGGAACAAGGAAGTTGAGTGTGCCAAAAGACTGGAAAAGGAAAGAACTGATTGAGGAGGCAATTCGTTTGTTTTTCCCGGATGAAAAAAATTCTCATGGAAGTGTTTCTGAGTTTGAATTGGATCTAACAAATTATCAGGAAGTGTCACTAGATCATGAAACTACAGTGGGGGAAATGTATAATGCATCCAAACTCACAATGATGAGGTTCTACCTCACAACAAGAAAGGTCGCGAGGGAAGTGGAAGCAGAAAGTGGAGTGGAAATATCAGATTCAGACACAATAGAGGACTTGCACAGAAATAATCAGGATCAAAATCTTCCCACTTCTTCCAGAAGAATGAATGACCTCTTTCAAGCTTCAGACACAGATTTAATTTTTGTGGAAAGTACAGACAACAACGACACATCTCCCTTACATTCCGCAGAGGATGTAAATTTGACAGATGATCTGAATGTCGCTTTTCAAAGTTCATCAATGACCTCACTGGATTATTTTGATTCAAGCGATGTAGTGACAGTTTTCACTGGAGAAGTCACTGAAATAAATGAACAATCCTTAGATGACACTTTGCCTCTGAGCCCGGAACCCATAGTTCCTGACAAAAAAATTCTTGTTGTTCATCGTGGACAGATATTTTCAGAACTTATTGCACATTTCTGTGATGAAACCCTTGCACACACACAGAGTGCTGTAGAAGTGAAGTTGCTCCTCCCAAATGGACAGTTTGAGATGGGCCATGACTTCGGTGGAGTGTTCAGAGATTGCCTATCAGAATTTTGGCAGGAATTTTATGATCAATGCACACTGGGAAACAATTTTAAAGTTCCCTTTCTTCGGCATGATTTTGGGAAAGAAAAGTGGGAAAGTGTTGCCCGAATAATTCTGTTTGGCTGGAAGAAAGAGAAGTATCTTCCAATAAAACTGGCACCTGTCATCTTGGAGCAAGCAATACAAGGATCTGTCAAAAGTGATCTGATTGACAACTTTTTAAAGTATGTCTCAGAAAATGAGTGTGCTGTCTTAGAAAGTTGCAGAACAGACTTCTGTAGTGCAGACCAGGAGGAATTGATCGAGATCTTGGACAACTACAGTTGTCGTAGAATTCCAACAGAAGAAAACTTTGTGCAAGTTTTGCAAGAACTGGCTCACAAGACTCTCATTCAAGAGCCTGCTTATGTTCTTGAACAGTGGATGAGCATACTTGGACCTCTGAGGAAGGACCTTCAGGAAATTGAAAATGTGTATTGTGCACTACAACCAACAGTGAGGAAAATTGTGCGATCTCTCAAATTCCCTGAAGCAATGAATGCACACCAAAAGGACATTTCAAAGCATTTGACAGCTTACTTGCGGGAGTGTGATGCCAAACGACTGTCTCTGTTTCTGAGATTTTGTACAGGATCAGATTTGTTTATAGATAAAACTATAACAGTTGATTTCACAGACCTTAAAGGGTTTGAGAGAAGACCAGTGTCACACACCTGTGGCTGTTTCCTGAGGCTGTCAGTACACTATGACAACTATCCAGATTTCCGATCTGAAATGAACAAAATTCTTGAAAGCAATGTCTGGGTAATGGACATAATTTAGCTGCACTGGCACATACATTGGAAAATGTCAGAAACTGTTTATGGCCAGCTCATATCCTATTTTGCATGGGTCAGTCTTCATACACTTAAAATTTATTATACACGTGTATGCATGGAGTAAAACATTCACTTTAATTTGAATGGTTATTCACTTTAAATTACAGGTTACACTTAGTTGTTGGATGTCGAACAAACTTTTTTTCTGAAGATTTATTTTGATTATGACTTTCAATAGTGAAAACGTAATTATTTAGTTGCAACCTACTGTTTGCGTTAAATTTCACGGGTTGTTCATGTCAACTCGTCAGTCAGATGGCTTTGAACTGTTAATTAGTTAATGGTTCATTCTTCATACATTTACTCGAAAAATTAGAATATCAAAAGTTCATTTATTTCAGTAATTCAACTTAAAGGGTTAGTTCACCCAAAAATGAAAATTAAGTCATTAATTACTCACCCCCATGCTGTACCAACCCCGTAAGACCTTCGTTCGTCTTCGGAACACAAATGAAGATATTTGATTAAATTTGAGAGCTGTATAACTACCACATTGGCTCCTAAAGGACTGCCTCTTGACGGCCCAGAAAGTCAATGAAGAAAATGTTTAAATATCCCAAGTGACTACCGTGGCTCAACTATATGTTTATCAAGCGACGCGAATACTTTTTGTGCGAAAAAACAAACAAAAATAACGAGTTTATTCGACTATTTCTTTTCTTCCTTGTAGGCCAGAACGAGAATTCCTTAGATTTCCACGACGCATGCGCGAGAATTGCGATCTGAAGTAGTGAAGCTGGTGTAAGCAGATCGCAAATCTCGCGCATGCGTCGTGGAAATCTAAGGAAGTCTCGTTCTGGCCTACAAGGAAGAAAAGAAATAGTCGAATAAACTCGTTATTTTTGTTTGTTTTTTCGCACAAAAAGTATTCGCGTCGCTTGATAAACATATAGTTGAGCCACGGTAGTCACTTGGGATATTTAAACATTTTCTTCATTGACTATCTGGGCCGTCAAGAGGCAGTCCTTTAGGAGCCAATGTGGTATTTATACAGCTCTCAAATTTAATCAAAAATATCTTCATTTGTGTTCCGAAGACGAACGAAGGTCTTACGGGGTTGGTACAGCATGGGGGTGAGTAATTAATGACTTAATTTTCATTTTTGGGTGAACTAACCCTTTAAAAGGTGAAACTATAGACTCATTACCTGCAAAGTGTGATATTTCAAGCCTTTATTTGTTATAATTGTGATGATTATGGATTACAGCTTATGAAAACCCCAAATTCAAAATTAGAATATTGTGAAAAGGTTTTCATAAGCTGTAAGCCATAATCATCACAATTATAACAAATAAAGGCTTGAAATATCACACTTTGCATGTAATGAGTCAAGTTGAATTACTGAAATAAATTAACTTTTGATATTCTATTTTTTCAAGTTTCACCTGTACTCTACACAGCAAAAACTCCAGTGTTAAATTAACTCTCCTGGGAGTTTATATGACTCCACACTCAAGAGTGTTAAATTAACTCTGAAGCAGTGTTAAAGTTAATGAGATAATTAAGTGATTAATTGAGCAATGATTGACCAACATTGAAGACACCTGATGTTAACAAGTAGAATCACTGAAAGTGAAAAATCAAAATTATAAGTCACCATTATGGAGATCAGTGTTTGCTTCAGTGGGGCAGTCTGTACATTTTATACTTTAGATATTGTTTTGTCACAAAAGTCTGATGGGGCTGATCCACTGAGGGGCTGGAATGAAAGTTTTCATGACATCTTTTTGTGACGTGTTCTGCACGTTCGATATAGACATTAATGGATCCTTCGTACAAGGTTAACAACAAGTTCAACATGTTTTCAACATAACTCATGGTCTTATTTAGACAATTTAAACTGTTTCTGGACCGAAGAAACACTCTCAGGATGCATTAAATTTACAATTTGAAATAAATTAGTTTATTTACATTGTTTAGATGTGGTTTAGATGGTGATATTTGTTTCATTTTAAGTCACCATTGTGGTGATGAGTGTTTGCTTTAGTTGGGCTCTTGGTCCCAATTCTTCTTACTTTAGCTTTTCTTTGGCTGTTGTAACTGTTTGCATAACACCATTGATTGTGCAGAGAAAGCCAAGAAAATTAAAAATTAGATGTCTTCAGATGCTTGCTGATGATGACATAATCATCTAAACTTATGTTTTTATATCTGAAATTTATAATTATTCATCTCGTAGAACTGCATTATTTGGACCAGTAACTTTATAATGACCACTGCGTGCAATATGTTTTAAGAAATTGAAACACATAGTCACACACAGATATCAAGATTTTGCATATGATTCTCAACGACGGTGACAACCAAAACAAAAAAGCCTGGGAATCGAGGATGTTTTGTACTATGAAAGCTACCCATCATGCATTGCGGCATGAAGCATTTTTTTTATTTTTTGTTACCATTTTTGTGAATCATATGCAAAATCTTGATGTCTGTGTGTGACTAGATGGAACATTTTCTCAAAACATTGTGTAAACATTGTGTTGCTTTTTGTCCAACTACTAGGCCAAATAATGCAGTTCCACAAGATTGGTGGTTATAAACTCCAGATACAAACACAAAAGTCTAAACACAACGTTAAATGCCCACTTTATATTGATTTCATCGTCAACAACCGACAAGGAGCTGATGAGAGCCAATTTTCTTGGCTTTCTCTGTCACAACAATGGTGTTATTCAAACACACAGTTACAACAGCCAAAGAAAAGCTAGAATACTAATTATTGGGACCAAGAGCCCAACTAAAGCAAACACTGATCACCACAATGGTGACTCAAAATGAAATAAATATCACCATCTAAACAATGTAAGGAAAAAAAAATAAACATAAGTTTTAATTTAATGCATCCTGAGAGTGTTTATTTGGTCCAGAAACAGTATAAACCAGTATAGACCATAAATAATGTTGAGAATGGCCACATTTGAACTACTTTTTAACCTTGCACGAAGGATCCATTAACGTCTTTTTCAGATGTCCAGAACATGTCAAAAAAGACGTCATAAAAACTTTCATTCTGGCCCCTTAGTGGAAGTCTTTTCAAACTCTGCCTTTTGTGACAAAGACATTGAAAAACATCTTTTGGACATCATTTTGCTTAGTGAGTTATGTCAAACCATAATCAGCACCACCTGATCACCTTTTCTCTAAGCAAATAATGATCACCATTATGGTGACTTCGAAAATGAGATTTTTCTTCTTCAGCGATTCTGCCTGTGATCATCAGGTGTCTGCAATGATGGTCAATTATCACTAAATTAATCACTTAATTAGCTCATTAACTTTAACACTCTTGAGTGTTAATTTAACACTCATATTTTAACACTTTAACACTCTTGAGTCTGGAGTCAAATAAACTCCCAGGAGAGTTAATTTAACACTGGAGTTTTTGCTGTGTACATTTATTTATACATAAAGTAAAACATTCTCTTTGTTTACTTCCTTAGTTGTTGCTGGTTATGTTTAAATTCAAACAACCTTTTTTTATTATGTTTTTGATCATTTATTTTATATTTTGTTAATGAATTTCAATAGTGAAAGATATCACATACACTCTTAAAATGGATGTGTTAAAAACAACACAACCTGTGTTATATCTTAACACATCTGTGTGTTTAGTTAAGGACAACACATTTTGTGTTACTTTTAACTCAACCAGTGTGTTATTGTTCTTAACACGGAGTGTGATTTCACTAAGTTTGCACTTTGAATTAGATTAAAATGTAGCAACTGACAAAATATTGTGTGTAAATAAGTTTTATTTACACTGGTGCACTCTTATAAAATGATTTTGTAAATAACACAACCTGTAAAAAGAGATGTTAAAAATGACACATGCTGTGTAGATTTTAACACATATAGTGTGTGTGCTTAGGGACAACACATTTTGTGTAGATTTTAACACATGTTGTGTAGATTTTAACACATGTAGTGTGTGTGCTCAGGGACAACACATTTTGTGTAGATTTTAACACATGTTGTGTAGATTTTAACCCGTTTTGTAGATTTTAACACATGTAGTGTGTTTGCTCAAGGACAACACATGTTGTGTCAAATTTAACACACAACCTGTGTTGTTTCTTTACACATCTCTGTGTTTATAAGGATTACACATTTTGTGTTACGTTTAACACAACTAATGTGTTAGACAGCAGCAGTGTGTTGTTGAAACCTTTTACACACTAATGTGTTATAGTAACACAACTTGTGTCAGATATGCGTCACATGTGACTGTAGTCGGAGAGTATTTGCCAGAGTTACTTCCCGTGTGCTTACAAAAGTGTTTGGATGAACACTGACACGTATTGGTAACTTGTGTTTATGTAGTCCAGTGATGTTTAATAGAGTTTGTTTGAACATTTGGATGTTTTAAACATCATTAATCTACAAAGACAAGCTCTTATTGAGAATTAACAGAGGTTTGATGTTTCATTTCAGTTTTATTTCAAGTCACCAGAATCGTGATTAATGGCTCCTTTATTTGGGCTCTTGACCCTTTACTCTTGTTTTAGTGTTTCTCTGCCTGCTGTAACTGTATTTTAATAAAATACATCTGTTATGGTGACAGAAAATATGATCAGATGGTTCTTGATGATGTCATAATCAGCAAGTTATGATCAAGTTTTTGAGTATATGGATGGAGTGCTTTATTTTAATGACTTATTGTTAGTTCTGAAAGTTTTGTGAAACTACATCCAGCAATCAAAAAGTGCAGAATGACAAAAAAAAGTTTAAAGCTACGGCAGAAACCAGTCAAACACAGATATCAAGAATCAGCGTATGTATCTCAATAATGGTGACAAACGAAAAATTTCAGGCCGCAATGCATGCTGGTACTTATGGATGAGCTTTATAGAGACATGAAGCTTTGCCACCATTGTTGAGAGTCATATGCTGATTCTTGATGTCTGAATTTGACTAGTTTCTGCTGCAGCTTTAAACGTTCTCTAAACATATTTTTTTAAAAATTATAGCATAAGGTAACATACACCATAATATCATGTAAAAACTGAGTATCTGTAATCAAATAAAAGTGATCAAATATACGTTATCTCTTAAACATTAAACTTCTCTTGCTATGTTAAAAAAACATCATGTTGAAAACTGATCATTTAATGATCTTTTTCCTCAAGATAATTTCAACTGTTTCAGATGTGCAATATAAATACACAGAACCAGCAAACAGAGAAACGAATGGTAAAGGGTGAAGGGTCAAGAGCCCAAATAAAGCTGCCACTAATCACGATTCTGGTGACATCAAAACAAACATTCAATGAATCGTCAACACAAAACCTGGTAATTCTCAATAAGTGTTTCTGTAGACGTCTGACAGAAATAAATTGTTTGTTATAATAAATTAGTTATCAATAACAAGTGAAATCAGCATTTGAAAAAACATTGAAACCGAGGCATGATGTGATTGGCTGCCAAAAACACTCATTAATCTGAAGTTTTTTTATGAATTAAGATTTTATTTATTTATTGTAATGTATTGTTTCATTTATTTTAGAGCTTGTTATGGGATACCATAGAAAATATACTACCTCTAATTAGGTTCTTAAACACAAACTTCCCTCAACCCATTAAAATTCTATCCAGTTACATTTTAACACACATTGTGTGTTAAAAACTACACAACTTGTGTCAAAATACCATCAACACATGATGTGTGTTGTTTTTTAACACATCTCTTTTTAGAGTGTAGGTGCAACCTACTGTTCATGTTACCTTTACTGTAGATGGCTTTGAACACTTATACAGTGTTCATAATTTAACTTTGTGCTTGTATACAAAAGGGTGTCACATTATTGTGAACCTTTAGTACATGCTATAGGTTAAACTGTTTTGTGAAATTGTTTTATAGAAATTGTTTTACTGTGGTTTGTATTATTCTTACTTGTACCACATGTTGTCATGTTTGGTTAACCACTATGCATAAAATACCAACACAATCTGCATACATGGTGCCAATGTTTTTTGTGCATTAAAGATGGAGTGACTTCCACAAACCAATAAATAATGCACAATAAAGTTTGCAATTGTGACTGTCTTTTTTAAAGAATATTCCAAATTCTGAACTTTTAAAATCTATTTCAGTTGTAGCTCTCTATAGAGGCACACAAAACAGAAAAGCCGATGTACCATGTAAAATTAGTACAACCATTTAGGTTCATCGTGAGTGTTAAATGATTTAGAGAACATACAGCACTGCCATTCTGAGAAGAAAGTTTAAGGTTTTGTTTTGAGCAATGTACCACAACAAGGTTACAGTTAATAATCTAAATACCATAAGAAATTCAGTTCTTAATAATTTATTTCAGGGATAATACAAATAACATCAATTTACCTATAAACCCATTTTTGTTCATATTTTCAGTCCCCTGCCCCTTTAAAGTCTTGAAAGTCAATGTTAAACAGAAGAGAAATCCATCAAATTTGAACAGTTTCAAGCCATAAATACATTAGTTTTTAGGTTCAAAACATTGTCTTGACTTGTCCATCTAAAAAGGCTTGCTGCACTTCATTTGTATTCAAGTTTGAAGTATTGACAGTATAATGCAATGCAATAAATCATGCATGTAAATTACTGTGGCTGGAAAAATAAAATAAAAAATAAGGCAAACTTTTTACAATTGTTTGAAAAAAATTCTAAGTGTTATAATTACATCTATGCCTCTTATTCTGATGGTTGTGCTTTTGCCATGTTATAACTCTGAAAATAAACAGATAACAAGATATCAATTTCACAGCATGCTAGAAGCTCCAGTGAAGCCGTTGATACTCTGTTGCCTCATGAATGGCTGTGACCTAATAAAAAAATTAAACAAAAAAACAAAAAAAAACATTAAATATTTAAGGGACAACTTTAAATATCCTGAGTGTCAGTGTAACAAAGTAATTTAAGTAAAATGCCAAAGGAATAAGAGAAATATTATTTTTATTTAGAAATATAATAATTATTATTATTATTATTAATGATTAAGACTTGCTTTTAATTAATTAGTACACCCAGCCTAGCCAATTTGAGGCAAATCCTGTTCCTTGCAGAACTCTGCAAATGTTCTTCTTACCTCAGAGTGAACTTCAAGGAGATGGGCGTGTGCCACTCCAGTGTTCTCTCTAGTGGTCCAAGGGGGGTAGGAAGAGTAATGTGGTGCTAAGGCTGCAATTCAACACTTACAGACACAGGTGTAAATTTCAAATTTCAAGTTCAAGTTTCAAGTTTTATTCCAATTTAAATATTTTGGTCATCTGAAATACTAAAACAATTGAAACAATACCTTCACAGCTTATAGTGATGTTTATTAATTTAGAATGGTGAATCTAGTCCTCAGCGTCCAGTCCTTGAAGGATCAATTCGCGAAGCTGGAGGTAAAGGTCTGTAATTTCATAAACATCATCTGACATGACAAGGTTATGCTCAGTCATGAGTTCTACACACAGTTGAAAGACATCCTCGTCACAAGGATAGTCTTTAAATAAACACTCCTCTTGGCAAATATTCAGTTTTGTTTGTTCAATTGGATGCAAGAAATTCTGCACTCCATATAAGCTGGAACAGCAAACATTATTGAAGGTCGACCACTGGGAGCACGTGGGTTGTGAGTTGGCCGTATCCTGTGGGAATTCCAGGCACTGACAATTTCATCAAGCTCTTCCTTCATAAAACAAAAAGGAAATATAAAAGGATATATATTATATATATAATATTGTCTTGTCAAATTAATTAACAAAATTATGTCATTATACGTCAAAAGTTATAATCCAAATTCAATAGGCCATACTCTCTATAACTGATAGTGAACAAAATTGAATAAAATAGGCCTACCTGAATAAAATGTTGGAAGCAAAACTGGATGAGAGATTTATCAATGAAAGTGTCAACAAAATGTCCGTCTTCTTTTAATTGTTCAAAAAGATCCATCCAAAACTGTATGCACTGGCTTCTCAAAGTGGACCACCATCGTTCAATTCTCTGGTTCCCAGTGCTTGGACCAAGAGTGACACATTCTGCACTTGCAGTGTTTCTGAAAAATGTTTGCATCTCTGCTATATGAGTATTTTCAGTTCCGTGGTCAATGCGAATTCTTTGTGGAAATCCGTTATTCTCAGCAACAGCATGTACAAAATAACCTGCAATTACTCGTGGGTCATTGTTCGTTTTGTATGCTTCAAGCCAGATCATTTTTCTGGAAAATCCATCAATGCATCCGTTTATACATATTCCGTAAGGTTTTAATTTGTCGTACCCGTCAATATGCCAAACATAATTTGGCCCGCGACTGTTATATACGCGTCTGCGTAGACGACCATGAGCACGTAGATCAACTCCTTGTCCATCTAACAGTCTCATCAACTGACGGACAGTTTCTCTGTCAGTAATAATTCCGGACAACCAACATTTCTGGTGCATCCATCGATAACCATGTTGCCGTCCCGATGTCTGAAGCTGCTGGTGTATAAAATGTGCCACTTCAGCCTCGTCCGTTTTGTTGCGTCTCCGCCACAACTGATTCCTGCATAATGTTCTCTCAAGAGTCCGGAGACTAAGCTTAATGTTGTGTGATTCCTCCAATAAAATCAAGATTTCTCTATTTGTGAAACCGAGGCGAAAATAATCCTCTATAATCTTTTCCATTCTAAATGCTATAAAATGATATGTTCAGCGTCCCGTGTTTGACTTGAGTGGTGAATGAAATGCGAGCAAAGTCAAAATTACGAGTTTATACCTCACAATTTTGACTTTTTATCTCACAAACCTGACTTTATAACTCGCAATTGCGACTTTATATCACGCAATTCTGACTTTTTATCTCGCAATTCTGACTTTATAACTCGCAATTGCGACTTTATATCTCGCAATTCTGACTTTTTATCTCGCAATTGCGACTTTATATCACGCAATTCTGACTTTATAACTCGCAATTGCGACTTTATATCTCGCAATTCTGACTTTTTATCTCGCAATTGCGACTTTATATCACGCAATTCTGACTTTATATCTCGCAATTCTGACTTTATATCACGCAATTCTGACTTTATATCTCGCAATTCTGACTTTATATCTCGCAATTCTGACTTTATAACTCGCAATTGCGACTTTATATCACGCAATTCGGACTTTTTATCTCGCAATTGTGAGAAAAAAAGTCAGAATTGTGAGATAAAAAGTCGCAATTATTTATTTTATTTTTTTATTCAGTGGCGGAAACAAGCTTCCATAGTTTAGTAACGTATACTCGTCTCCGCTGATGAAAAACTTTGTTACATTGCCAATTTTGCTTTTTTGTTTTTCAAATATTGAAATATATTCCAGTAAATGTATTTAAATACCCACTCCTCTTTGTGTTGTTGTTGTTGTTTTCTTTAACAAAACTCAAAGTATGAAGAAGCAGCGTTGTGTCCTAAAATATAAACACAGATTTTAATATGAGTGTGAATACAGTGAAGTGTAGCTACACATTTCTTTTCTGAAACCCTCCCATCCCATATGTGACAGGTTGAGTTTTTAATATTTTAGGTTTTATTTCTTGGCCTGGTTTATTGCTCTCTTATAGACGTGATTCCTGCTGTAATGATGTATTAAGTGTGTGTGTGTGAGAGGACAATTTATAAACAGACTTCTTTTGTATTGTAGGTGTGGCCTGAGTGTGTTTATTCTGCCCTGTGGACTCGAACCCTATATAGGCTAATCTGTGATGGAGTGTTTGATTCTGTCCACCGTAGGTTTGCCCCATAGGGTTTGCCTAGCTTTATATTATATATCAGGAAATAATAAAGAAAACGGAAGTGATCACCTGTGCCCAAGTGACGGCAAATAAGCAATAATAAATATAATAAAATATAATACTCTTTTTTTAAGCTACAGGTACAGTGTTTTGTTTTGTTTTTTAACAGCACAAACGAATGGCACAAAAAAAATAATAATAATAATGTTCACTATCTCAAACACCAAACCAGCATAACGTTGGCATCGTTTTGGACATTATCTAATTTTATGGATTGCAAACTTCACGAAGGATGATGACCGCATCTCTCAGTAAAGGTAAATAAAATAAATATAAATAAAAAAGGTAAATACAGTCGGTTGGTCTGGGAACGCCCCGTCACGTGATGCTGAAGAGTTGCTGTGTCGTTTTCTGTACCACAAACAAACAAATTATGAATTGAAGTTCTACATCCTTCCTAATAAACGTACAGAACCGGTAAGGAGGATAAAATGGCAAAATTAATCATAACTTGTTAGATTACTGTGTGAGTAGATCCCTGTGTGATATAGTATGTTAAACTCGTATTATTGGGCCAGATTTGTCACAAAAAAGAACTGCTATAGTACTCCCATGCCTATAAGTATACTTCTGTGATGTTATGTATTACTGTACATCTCTATTATACTTGTAGGCTATGTCCCAAAATACTATAGTATTCCTATAGATTAACGTTAATATTTTGTCTTAAAATACTACAAGATTCCTATAGTTGTTGTTTTTCATAAGGGATATGTCTCGTTCACATTAGTGTTATCAGCTCAATACAGACTGCAGTCTGTGAGAATTCGGATAACTGTCAGCAAAATCCCTCGGCAACTTCGTAGCTGATCACCGTTTTACAAAAGAATTAATAGTTTGGAGTAAAAGCATACGTACAATTGGTAAGTTACAAGGTTTCATCGTTTTTATATTATTATTGGAGAAATAAAAGGCTAGATAAGCCAGAAGTCATTTCTCTACCATAAAGAATGTCAGCCAGCAGCAGCAGTTTTATAAAATGCACACGTGTATGATTACACCCGATACACGTGACACGCGTGCGTCATCGGTCAGCCAGCAGCAGCAGCAGTTTTATTTATTTATTTTTTTTTTATTTTTTTTTTTTTATTGATGAATTAACAAGACAAACAATAGAAATACAAACATTTCAGATGCTAGGGGAGGTACATATAGTATTATAGGAATACTTTTAAAAAGTTTACATGCTTGTAAAATACAAATAGCCTTTTGTTTCTTTGAGGGCAGTATTGACTCAATATAAAGTTTCACTTCACTTTCAAAAGCAATAAAACATGGCTTTTTCCCTAAAAATTTGCATTTGTGGATATGAAATTTAGCCATCAAAATAAAAAAATTGATAAAATAAGTACAGGGTTTTTTTCTTTAGAGTTAACAATACCTAGTAGAACATCTTTCCACAGTAAAGTAAAATTTTCATCAATATTTCCAACAATAAAATAAAGAACATTTTGCCAAAAAAGAGACACATAAGGGCAGTGCCAAAATAAATGAACAGCTGTCTCTGGCTTTTTTTTGCAAAAACTACAACTTTCATCAATATCTTTTTTAAATCTGGTTAAGTAGTGTTTAGCAGGGTATATCCTATGAAAAGCGATTGGGAAGAAGCCAGATTTTTTTCCAGTCGACATCACTCACAAATTGACTCCAGTACGCAATAACACTTGGCCTAGAAACAACATCTTTCTGGAAAAGTGCTCTTATTGACCTGTTATAATTATAATGATAGGCAAAACATATTTTACCTACCAGAGTTTGAATTGGTGAGAAGGGTGGAGATTGCTGGTAGTCAGGTAATCTTTTTTGCTGTTTAAATAACATACAAATTTTAGGAGAGATTGCTCCAAAAACGATTGCAAATTCCCTTGGTGGAATAGGAATATTATATCTGAGCATAAATTCTTCATAAGTAAAAAGAAGGCCATCTGAATTAAATAACTGGTCTACCAAAACAATATTATTACGAAACCAATTTTCAAAGAAAATAGTTTTATGTTTGAAAAGAATGTCCTTATTATTCCAGATAAAATATTTGTGTGGTGAAAAGTTGTGTTTGTAAATTAAATTCCATGTCAGAAAAGCTTGACGATGAAATGCAGAAAGTTTCACAGGTATTTTGTTAACATCAAAATTGGAAACAAGGAAGAAATTTATGCCACCCAGACTAGATAAAAAATGAAGGGGAATAATATTCCAAATAGAGCTTGGATACCTAACAAGTTGTCTAATCCATTTGATTTTGAAAATATTGTTTAATGTAGCAAAGTTCAGCAAATTGAGACCACCATTTTCATATGAGTTCATTAAAACTGATTTTCTAATATAATGAATCCTATTTTTCCAGACAAAACCAAAAAGCATCTTATCAATCTCCCTCGAAATTTTATCATCAACCTGAAGAGCCATAGCTGTATAAGTTAAACGGGACAGACCTTCTGCTTTAGAAATCAAAACTCTCCCTCTTAATGACAAGTCTCTAAGAAGCCATTGATTAAATGTCCTCTGAGTTTTTTGGATAACAGGATTAAAGTTTAAGGAACTCCTATTCTTCTGATTCTTGTTTATTGTAATACCTAGGTATTTGACTTCTGTTTTTACTGGAATGTTACAAATAGATGCCACTGAACATTCTTTGACCGCCATAAGTTCACATTTCTTTACATTCAAATAAACACCAGAAGCTTTAGAAAACTCTTCTATTATTTTAATTGCAATGGGAATTTGTTTATCATTTTGGAGAAAAAGAGTGGTGTCATCAG